TCGAATCGTACGGTGTCGAATAATTTGGTGTCGAATAAATCTGTGTCGAATCGAGCGGTGTCGAATCGTACTGTGGTCAATAGAGTATCACCCGTCGGCGTCACCTACGCCGTTCCCACAATATAGTAACATAAACATATATTCAAAAGGTACCATGTATAGAAAAAACATACAGTAAAAATATTAAGTGTATATATGGATGTACATAAGTATCACAAAGGTGATGTTCATAAAAAAAATGATTTATGCAAAGCAATTTTTTGCACCATGCGCAAGTAATTATTGCAGTTAAGCCACAAATTTCACATGTCGATTTTAACTGATTTTTGAAACAATATTTTACTGGTGTTTCAAATTCTTCCGGTTTATTTTTCACATACCCGCTTTTATACCATGCGTATCAAAATAAATTTCTAAATCTAGGCGATGAAAACTGACCATGAATTAATGATTGTATTTTAAAAATATTGTTTCTTGCGTGAAGATTTATTTCTAAATCCAAAATTATTACAATATCTAAAAAGTTTAATGAAAGTTTTCCACAAACAAAAACTATATACATCTAATGGTTGTATGTTTCCTGTTGTTCCAGCCGGTATAGTTAATAGAATTATAGTTCCTGTAGATTCTAATTTAGTTTCTTGTATAATATTTGGACAATGACCAATCCATGAATCTAACAGTAAAACGAACTTTGGTCTTACGTTTGGAAAAAATACGTTTTTTAACCAAATTTTAAAATGATCTGACGTTAATTTTCCGGATTTCGAATCTCTAACAAAAATATTAGGTGCCATGAACATTGTTGTTTGCATTCTAGGACCAAATGTTCCATTAACTTCTTTTAATACAATAAAAAAGGCGATAATAACATACCATCGGCTGAAACAGTAGGTTGTATAGTATAGGTATGCGTAATTGCCGTTTTAAATTGTACTACAGACTCAATTCTTTTTGTTCCTTTATATGCTAATGTACGACCGGCATGCAATTCTAACTGGAATCCGCTTTGATCACTGCTAAATATTTTCTGCTTTATATTGAGTTATTTGATATTTAACGTTTTCAATAAGTGAATTACACTTTTCTTCAAGCTCGACGTTTGCTAGTATAGATTTTTTTGTTACAAATATTGTTATTTTATGAGATACAATATTATGTAATGCTTCGAATTTTTGTATCCAACGCATTGACGCTTTGATCCCGGTACATTTAAATCTTTCTGTGCTCGAACAGCCATCAAGTTAAATCAATGTCGTGAATAATTATTCTTTTTTTACAAGAGCTATATAGAATATATATTAAAATTATTTAATATATATTCTGAAATTTGTTTTAAGTTGTAGTATCTACTACCATCTTCATTTACTTGAATTTTCCATCGTTGCAATTGACGTAATGAAGATACTTTCCGAAATCTTTGTTTAACTCCTTCCAATAGTTTTGGTTTAATTTTTCCACTTTTCCAATATTCCACTGCTTGTTTTCTGTATTCATGCGAAATACGTTCATCTGTGGTACATACAAATTTAGGAGTTAGTATATATTCTTTATCTTTGTGCTCTACATCTTGTAGCTCTATTTGTTCTGCTTCTGAAATATCATTATCATTGTCATAATCCAAAGATATTTCCTCCTTTATATCACATCTTTCATCACGCATTTCTTGCAACATCACCTCTATTTTACGTGCCGTTTCTCGTTCTTCTGACGTTATTGGACTTGTAGGTAAATTCAAAGCAGTAAAAGTCACGTAAAGCAACATTATTACATTATATGGATTAAATTGAACCATTCTGAAAAATATAAATAAATACTAAATATTGTTTTAAACTTTATTTGTGTACAAAAAGAATAATACTTACTTTATAGTTTAGTAAATTTACTTGTGTGTTATTTTTTTCGTGTTCATTAATTTATGAATTATTACTATTATGTTGCAGCTTTGTAATTTAAAAGATACATATATTTGTATATTTTTCAAGTCAAATATCTCGGATATAATCAAATCACTAGTCAGAATTCACTCACTATTTCGTACTCACTATTATCTTTTTACATATTATTTTTCCATAGTCACTATAGAATAAACCAAACTTCCAAGCGTAATATACGATAGCTAACTTGAATATGACGCGCTGCAAACAATGATTATTAATATAAGCCATTCTGCAATGAGTCATAACAACAAATGACAACTAGAGGAACAGTGCTATTTTCAGTTGCACTTGGGCGTTGTGCAACTGGCGACGGAACATTTACAACTCATTATAGAATAAGTAAAATATAACGCATCAGTGGAAGGGATGTCTTAGCAACGCTTTTAAACTTTGCTCTTCGCTCTGTGATTAGAACTTTATCCAATACGTGACGATGTGACTATTTTCATTCTTTAATTTTTCTATCGCCTATTACGATTAAAGCGCGATATAAATGATGAGTCATGCAGCGCGACGCATATAATACGATATTGATGGTTTATTTCTGAAAGATGCGATTTTGAAACAAGAAAATCATATATGGTTGAATTCAGCATAAAAACTGCTACAATTTTTCCTTACAAAAATTTTGAAACTTGAAAAAAATGGCGATTGGGGGTAAATAAAAAAATGTTGAATGAAAAAGAAATCTAACTACGCAATTGTAAAGCCTATAAAATACTATGCAACTTTTTTATATCTCTTACCGTTTTGATGATACTCGCATAAAACAAAAAACCGGTTTTTTTTCGAAGGGGTGTATCACTTTCCAAACGTGCAAGCAAACACATAAAAAAATACGGGCCTCTTAATTTTAGGTACTTTGCAACATATTCAAAGCTCATCAAAATCGGAGAAGGACACTTGCGTCACTTCCTTTGTAAGTATTACCTCATGAGCAAATAGTGGTTCGAATGGTTCTACCAAAGGTGTGGATTAAGAACACTTGGAACAATATAATTCATTTAGTATATCGCGGATTTTTGGTGTTACTCGTCTGCATTTGCTCAGGTTATATTGCTGGAGGTAATCGAGAGCCGGTGATAAACAGATAAGTCTCTTAGTAATCAACGGTTTTGGTTTACACATTTATACTATGAGCTAATTAGTATAAAATTAAATATAGTGAAGATATGAGGATGTCACCTCCGGCTCTTTCTCAAATTTACAGTTGATTTGAAAAACGGCAATATTGAGCCAGTGCAGGATGTTGTGCAATAAATAAATATACTACAAAGTAGTTTTTTTAGCAAAACGTTTC